GTCTTCCGCCGTCCTCTGAAGTTTGCTCAACTTCATGTTCGTTGCATCTATGACACTGTCTAACAAAAATAAAAAATAAATAAATAATATTCTTTCCCAGCATCAGGGTCTTCTCCAGTGAGTGCTTCCTTCTCATTTGGTGGCCAAAGTATTTGAGCTTCAGTTTCATTATCTGGCCTTCCAGGGAACAGTCAGGGTTGATTTCTTTTAGGATTGACTGATTTGAACTCCTTGCAGTCCAAGGGACTCTCAAGAGTCTTCTCCAGCACCATAGTTCAAAAGAATCTATTCTTTGGCGCTCGGCCTTCCTTATAGTCCAACTCTCGCAGCCATACATGACCCAATATTAAAAATCTTAACTGTTATTTCTGATTACTGGTCATACATTTTGGTCCATCATCGGGTCTAAATTACTGGAGAATGCCTAAATAACTTATATTCTCCATTTTCCACAATGACTTAATTGTTTAAGTTATTATACTTATACTTATTATCCCCTTCTCTTAGTCCTAGTCCCACCTGTACTGAATTAGTGTTAATCTTATAGTCAGAAACTGCTCCGAAAAGCATCATCAGTTTTTAAAAATTCTGCACTGAGCTCCTTGGGTCCTGTTTCATCGGCATACAATAGCACTTTAGTGGTGTTTTGCTGGAAATTGATACCTTTAATTCACTGATGTTGTTGCACCGCTATTGCCAAAATTTCAATCACCATGTTAAACAATAGTGGTCTTCCCAGTACCAAAAAAGGGGGAAGTACTACCATCAATCACTATTCTGGCTCTTGGAGCTTTGTAAAATGTTTTAACCCAATTGCAAAATACTCTGCCCACTCCAAAGGCAGTTAGAGCTATATTCAGGAAAGCCCTACCAATTCTGTTGAATGCCTTCTCTGCATCAGCAAAAGAACATTGCAGGTATATGTCTTAATTAGATCAGCCAGCCTTCTGAAGTTCCAAGCCATTAATCGGCCTTCCAAGAAGCCTGTTTGATAGAGTCCAATATAACCATCCGATACTCCATTTAATCTATTTGTTTATAAAATTATGCATGGGATAGAGAAGGTAGGTAAAGAAGTACTTTTCTCCCTTTCTCACAATACAAGAACATGCGGGCACTCAATGAAATTAATGAACAGTAGGCTTGGAACAGTTCGAAGGAAGGACTTCTTCACCCAAAGAATTCATTGCCGCAGGAAGTGGTGGCAGCTACAAGCATGGACAGCTTCAAGAGGGGGTTGGATAAACATAGAGTGGAGATCCATCAGTGTATATTAGCCACAAGGTATAGATGGAACATAATAATAATAATAAGGGGACTAACAATGTTCATAGGGGATAGGGAAGACAACATATATTCATTTAATTGCACACACTGTCACTGCACGGTGTAAACGTCTTCTGGCTTGGCTCAGTCATTTTCCGAACGGCTGCTTTGTCGACCAGGCTTCAGGACCCGTATGTCAAATTGCCACACTGCCACCGCCTGGCCGGAAACATCCACTGCAGGGATTTTAGTAGCCAAGAAGTTCTTCCGCTTCCTCCAAACATCGACCAGGATGTCCCGACCATCAGCTAACACCCTCCCACAAGGGAGTGGTTCCCATTTTATCTACTCGCCGAAGCTTTCGAATCGCTGGGTGGACAATGAGCTGGGGACAACAGGCTGGCTGCTCACACCAGCGTGGGGCTCAAACTAACACAGTTCAGATGTTAAGACAGTGGGATATACCCACTGTGCCACCGCTCCCCTGTCTGGGGCAGTGATGCTCTGTATTCTTGGTGCTGGGCAACAGTGGGGGGGGGGCTTCTGGAGTTCTGGCCCTGCTTGTGGACCAGGTGATGGCCCCTGGGTTTTGGCCACTGTGTGACACAGAGTGTTGGACTGGGTGGACCATTGGCCTGATCCAACCTGGCTTCTCGTAAGTTCTTATGTTCTTATGGAATACTTGAAAGGATTTCCTAATCAGTGTTAAGTAGTGAAATGGGATAGGCATTTAATTTTTTATCTGGTGTGGCCATAGCTTTCATTGGGGAAAAGCATTTTCCCTTCCCCCCCCCCATCCATTTTACAGCACTCTACACAGTTTGGTGTAGTTAGGGTTAGCTTTGATTCCCAAGAACTGCTCATGAGGGAATAGTTCTGAAAGAACTTGTAACTGACCCAAAGTCACACCAGCTTTGATCCCCCCCCACTCCTCCACATGCAGCTGCTGGTGTGACCTTGGGTCAGTTACAAGTTCTTTCAGAACTATTCCCTCATGAGCAGTTCTAGGGAGAGCTCTCTCAGCCCCACCTACCTCACAGGGGAGGGGAAGGGGAAAAGATTGTAAACCACTCTGAGACTCAAGGTAGTGAAGGGCAGGGTATAAATCCAATCTCTTCTTTCTGTTTTCTTTCTCTGCCCTCTATTTCATGAGGGTGGCAGGAGGTATGTTTAATCTGAGCTTCTGTCCCCCCACACACTTGTATTCCAGAGGTGCAAGCAAAACGTTTCCTTCTGTGTCCCCTGCAGGTGCACTGCCTATCACAGAGTGCCTGCCTGCCTGCCAGCCAGCCAAAGCATACAAGCAAGCAGAGCAGTATGAAAACAGGATACAGCTGCTGAAAGACACACCAAAAAACCTTCCATAAATCAATGGGAGTAGTTAAGAAAGAGCAAAGTTGTGTACAAGAGAAATGACAGATCTTCTAGGTGGGTGGGAGGGGGTTTGCCATCTTCTGTTTGAAATACCCCCCACACACACACACTATTAGATTATATTCGAACACTTTCTGCCTCCTGCAGCTCTGAAAAGCAGGACATGAAGCACCAATACAACAGCCGTTTCTGAACAACATTTCGGTAGACGACCAAGTGCTGTTCATTATGCAGAATCTGAGCTGGTATGCTAACGATATCGAACAGGAGGCGGTTGGGGTCTGGTTTTGATTTATTTCCACATGCGCCTCGCTGATAGCTACCAGTCATTGGAACAGGCATGTGACGTATAGATGTAAACATTCCTCAATCCGCTCGTTCCAAAACGCAGTCGCCTGTTACTTCTGCACTACATGCAATGACTATTCTACCGGTTCACAAAAGCATGCAGTGAGTTTGCTGGGAAAGGGAAGGTATGGATGCAATTAATCCCCCCCCAAGTCTCCCTTCTACAAATAGGCCAGGATGCTCACCTGTAGCTATGAAGGTGGCAAGGAAGGAGAGGGTCAGAAGGCCTCGCATCGTTCCAGATGTTCCCTGAGGCTGAGTTGAGAGCAGGGTTGGGTTCTGTGGATGGAGCCAAGCCTCCGCCGCTGCCTGAAGCAGCCGTGGGTGTTCTGTCGAAGAAAACAGACCAGACCTTCCCAAAAGAGGGGGGAGAGGAATCCAGGCAGCTCCCTCAGCCTTTGCCCATCCCCAAGACGAGAGGGCTTGGAGCAAGCAAGGGTGGAGTGATGTACTTTTTCCCCCCACAAAAGGCCTGCCAAAGGAATCCAGTAGCTGTGTTTCTGTTTTGACTGTAATGTGCACCCAAACCAGTTTAGACGCATCGGAGCAAACATTAATCAGAGAAGGGAGGGTGTTCTAACATGCCATGGCCACAGTTCTAGCCAAAGCCAGTTGAGAGGTACTTTGCTCCGTGCCAGTCCGGAGGTTTTCGCTTTGCACTTTGTACCAGCTTGGAAGAGGCAGGCACCTTGCAAGAGACGGTAACTAATTCTGCAGCAGGGGCTGGATTTGGCCTGACGTTGAGGGACTAGGCAGAGAACCGTCTGCCGCTTTGCTTTGTCCACAGTCGCAGTCATTTATAGCAAGTCGGGTTCCCACCTCCAGCTTGGGAAATTCCTGGAGATTTGGAGGAGGAGCAGGGTTTGGAGAAGGGAGGAAGCTCAGTAGGGTTCAGTGCCATCAGGGGTCGTTTCATAGAAAAAGAGGTGCAGGAGCTCATTAGCATGACTTATTTGCATATGCCGCACCCCCTGACATCACCGGAAAAGTGTGGTGTGTCAGAAGGCAACACCCAACGCTAAGGCTCCACTGGACTGTTTTGGATTGCCAGCTATTGGGGGGGGACGTGCAGATCTGTCCTCGCAGAGGAGGGAGAGCTTGTACCTGAAGAAAACTTGGTCTTAAAGGTGCCACTGGACTGTTTGGGGCCGGGGAGCAGTGGGAGGGGCTCTGCAACTTACCTGGCTGCTTCTTGCTCTGACTGAGGGCTGATGGGAGCAGGGGGCGGGGCTTGTTGCATGTGCCCGCCCCCTGGGCTCCTTACTGCCGGAGCTCCGCTCCTGTGTGCTCCTGCAGGAAATGACCCCTGAGTGCCATAGAGTCCACTCTCCAAGGCTGCGGTCACACGCATTAAATAATCCACTTTCAGTCCATTTTCAATGCACTTACCGACTGGATTTTACTATGTGAACTGGCAAAATCCATTTGGAAAGTGGATTGAGCGTGGATTATTTAGTGTGTGTGACCGCAGCACAAACCTGCCTTTTCCTCCAGGGAAACTGAGGAATGCCAAAGGGGGGGGGAAACAAAAGAATTCGTCAGGACACAAAGAACACATCCCTCCCCCAAACAGTCTAGGAATAATAGCTTGTCCACTAATGGGCAGGTCCCGGAGAATGTAGAATTTGGGGAGGGATTTCACCTGGAATGCATGATATACCATAGATTTTTTCCTCAGCACCTGCCATTTTCTCCAGGGGATCTGCCTTCTGTGGTGTGGAGAGCTCTTATAATTCCACAGAAGAGCCCCTTAGAATCATAGAATCATAGAATGTTAGAGTTGGAAGGGATCTTGTAGGTCATCTAGTCCAACCCCCTGCACTCTGCAGGAGCATAGCCAAAAGATAGCCCTACATACCTACATACCTACAACATACCCGAAATATGGTCGTCCAGCCTCCGCTTGAAAACGTCCAGCAAAGGAGCATCCACTACCTCCCGAGGCAGACTGTTCCACTGCTCAACCACTCTGACAGTTAGGAAGCTTCTCCTGATATTTAGCCGGGAACGACTCCCTTGTCATTTCCACCCATTAGACCTAGTCTTGCAATCCAGAGCAAGAGAATAGATCTGTTCCAACTTCTACATGACAGCCCTTCAGATATTTGAAGACTGCAATAGTGTCCCCTCTAAGCCTCCTCTTTCCCAGGCTAAACATACCAAACTCTTTCAGCCTTTCCTCATAAGACTTGGATTCCAACCCACTCACTATCCTGGACACGCTCGAGCTTGTCAGCATCCTTCCTAAAATGTGGTGCCCAAAACTGGACACAGTACTCCAGGTGAGGCCTGACCATAGCAGAATAGAGCGGAACTACCACCTCCTGTGATCTGGACACAATGCTTCTGTGAATGCATCCTAAGATTGCATTAGCTTTCTTTACAGCTGTGGTAAGAAATTTTAGAAATATGGAAGGTTTGGGTTTAAAATGAACCAAATAGTTTATGAAATCCATATATCTGTCTCTGTTTCTTTGCTAGCAAAACGGCAAGGAGGCCTGGCCTGTTTCAAGCCCTTTGTTCTAGACAAATCTCTTTATCAGTCACCCCAGCAAAAGTTCAAAACATTCCAATCCCAGGATTTGAATCAATGTATGTTTCCCCAGGTATGAGACCCCCAGTTTCCTAGGCAATAAACTGCAGCTGGGCAATGACAGACTTCAATCCAAAGACAAGCTAACTTCATGGGATACAGAGAGTTCACACACCCCATCTCAGAGATAACATCAAGGGACAGTTTATTTCCCATGATTGGGAAACACCAGGAATAAACAATGACACTGTATTGATCCTGTGAAATGTGAACTTTTGTTGTGTAAGACCAAGGACGCAATTTCCTGCAAAACAATTTTAACTTCTAAATTTTTAATTTACAACTGTAAGGGACCTCTTTGAACATTTGGCATAAATACTGGTAAAATCCAACAGATCGTCGTTGACTCTTGAAGGATCAGGAGACAGGCTTATTTCTCCTGAGAATTTGGAGTCAACCCAAAAGGCTTTTTGTTTCTGCATGCTTTGGGGGGGGGGACTTTGCTTGCATGTTTATTGAGGCTTTGCTTGCATGTCTATTGTTTATGTTTTCACTATCAGCATTTAGGAAATAGGAGTGTACTGTGTTGGTAAATCTTAGAATGTATTTTCCTTTAATAAAGATAAGTTTTATTTTAATGAGAGACCTTTCTGTGTCTCTGTCAGCGCTTAGTGGTTTCCAAGCTTACACCTCTGCCTTTGGTAAGGAGGCAACACTCAGGGAACACATGAACCGAGGGGAGAGTGTGGGTGACATGGATAAACACGCATTCACAGACACGTGCAGCCACACACATTTTTCTCACAACAACAGCCACATTGCACTGCAGGCTCATGTTTAGCTTGTGATCAACCAGAACACCTAGATCCCTTTCACATGTGCTGCTGTCAAGCCAAGTCCCCTTGATTCAACATAAACTGAGAAGTGCTGGTCTGTGATAATTTTGTGAATATATTCTGTGAAATCTGGGTGAGTTGACCTTACTATGCAACACTGTATATGGATTTTATGGAATGTGGGTGTATTTCTGTAGCTTTTCGTTTCAGTTCCTAATACTGCATGGTGCTGCAGTTAATTTTTTTAAGAACTTCCTGCAGCTTCTTAAAAATCCTCCTGCAGCTAGTTGGGTTCTCCCCCCCCCCCCTTGAACACTGTCTGAAACTCAGTTAGTTTAGAGAACCTCATGATTTAGCACAAGTTGAGAACTGCTGGTCTGTAATAATTTCATGAGTGCATTCTGTGAAATCTGGGGGAGTTTTGATTTTATTTTGAAATACTGTTTATGGGGTTTATGGATGGAATATATATCAAATTGTTACAGTCCCGAAGGCTGCCTGGAGCCCCAGTTAGCTATGAGAAACCTCTAAATTCTGCAGAAGTTGAGAACTGTTGGTCTGCAATAATGCTATGAATATATTCTGGGGGATTTGGGTAAGTTTGACCTTATTAGTTTACGTTGTTGTTGTTGTTAATTGATTAAATTTCTATCCCGCCCTCCCAGCTGAGGCCGGCTCAAAGCGGCTTACTTAAACCAGCCTGAAATTTTATAATACACATAAAATAGAGTACAGTACTCAAGAAGAGCGACAACAACAAATTAAACAGTTAGACCAAGTGTGGCCAAGCTGCAGCTCGGGACCCTCGTACGGCTCTTACACACAGTCTAATTTAACGTTAGTAAAAAAGCAAATTTTAGCCTTTTTATACTGTCCATGGGGTTTTCTTGGCAAAAATACTGGAGTGGGTTGCTCAAATACTTTGGCCACCCAATGAGAAGGGAGCACTTACTGGAGAAGACCCTGATGCTGGGGAAGACTGAAGGTCAAAGAAGACGGGGACGGCAAAGGATGAGATGGTTAGACAGTGTCATAGATGCAACGAACATGAAATTGAGCCAACTTCAGAGGACGGCGGAAGACCGGAAGGCCTGGCGGGATCTGGTCCATGGGGTCGTGAAGAGTCGGACTCAACTGGGCGACTGAACGACAACAACAACAAAAAGCAAATTTGCATACTTTTCAACAAAAACATGTGTGTGTGATATTTGTTCATGTCTTGCAGCTCTCAAACATCTGATGTTTATTCTGTGGCTGAGTTCAGACGGGCAGTTTGAAGCAGGAGGGAGTCGTTGCAAAAAAGAGCCGGAACAAACTGTTCTGGGTTTTCCCAATCACACTGCACGGACAGATTAGGGAGCATCCCAGGAGGAGGTGCGAGGGAGCATTCACACTGTTGACCCAGAGGCGCGGTTGTAAGCGGCGTTTTCCTCGTGGCAGACGCCTAGGCGCATGGGCGCAGCGGCAAATAGGGCAGGATTCGGCCACTTTGGGCCATAGGCACATCCGGCGACATCACTACCCCCTCTTCAAGGCAATCACCTGCACCTTCCTGGTGCCAGAATGAGGCTAGGAGGTCAGTCAGAATAAACAGCCGGCGCTCATTATTAACGCGGGCTGTTCCCGGCTTTTAGCGGTTAGCGTTCACGCTTCCGGGAAGTGGAATGAAACGGGATGAACGGGCTCTCCAGGGTTTGCTACCGCTTTCACCAGGTATCGTTTAAACCCGGGAGGCAAGCGCTACAAGACAGGTTGAGTACAGGTGGGGAATGCCGGACAGATGTCCCTGTGTGAACGGCCCCTTTAATCCGCTTGTGAAATGTTCCTCACACGTGCCTATATCGGGGCAAACTGCCCGTCTGAACTTGGCCTATGTGGCTGTTACGTTAAGCAAGTTTGGCCACCCCTGAGTTAGACCATTCTAAAACCATTTAGCCATAAATATAGTCAAGTGCTAGTGTCAGTAATTGCCGTATCTCACAGCAGTAGTTCTTACACAGTTTCCCTCACTTCACAGTCGGCTCTGTGCTCTTCCCAGGTCATCTAAGGTGGCTGTCTC